AAAAACGTAATTTTTTGCATTAAACGTTCCCGTATGCACAAAAAAAAAATTTTTTTAAAACGTTCGTTCAAGTACAGGATACTACTTTAAACTAATGAAATATTTTTATTTTTTCGGTATCAGTTGACCCATTTGTCCTGGGGAATTATCACCTTATCCTTAAAAAAAAGGCGTTTAAGGGAAACAGCCACACCTTAAAAATTATTAAATATTTTTTGCAAAAATTTTTGCATAAACATTGTCAACAATCTAAACTTTCAGAAAATGTAATCATTCATTTAATAAAAACAATAGTTACATACATAAAAAAATCCAAACACTCCTATTTTTTTCGACAAAAAAAGGTATATCCCCCCTTAAGTAATAGAGAAGATCCAATAAATAAGAAGAAAGTATAAGGAAAGACAAACAAAAAATGGTTATATGTGTGTATGTATGGGCGTATGGATATGTGTGTTTGTGGGAACTCGGTGATGTATGTGTATAAATTGTAATTTAAAATTATAATTTGTAATAAATTTGGAAATTGGAGATAATGTGGACTGTATGGTAAATGTCGCTGTAGAAATGTGTGTAGGGTGTATCGCGAAAGAACGTACGTGTATGTTTCCTTACGTACATATGTTGAGATGGTCAGGCATATTTACGTACATTAAAGAGTGTGCATCTGGATTATATGTCCGTATGAACAAGAATATGGAAATGGGAAAAAGAAAGAAGCCGGAAAATGGCGACCGTATGAAGATGGAAAAAACAATACGAAAAAAGAAGCGGAATATGGCGATCGTATGCACAATGGAATTGCCGATTAGATAGATATAAGAAATTGGATTGGAAAAATTGGAAATATCTGGCTGGTCGGCGGAAATAAGAATAAATAAGAACGGTCATACTTATCTTGAATTAATGGACGAGAAATTATTGAAAATCCGCCGGTTGAACAATGGTGCTTGGAATTTATTGATTTATGCACGATTGATTTAAAATTGTTTTTGGTAAATTCCAAGTAATTTTAATATTTGGCTCTATATAATTTGTTTCATTTTTTTGGCATTGACTTGGTTTAATATTCCTATAATGCATTCATTTTTAGCTCTTTTGTATTGAGGGTATATTTTTTCATTTGCAAAAAATCGAAAAATTTGTATTGCTTTATCTAATTTTTTCATTTGATTAGTATTGGCTTGTAACCAAGTAGAGGTTTTTATTATTAATAGTTTTTCTGAATTAACGTGCTTAAGAAATTTATGGTTAAAAATGCCTAGTCTAGTAAGTTGCATGCCTAGTTCTAAGAATATATATTCATTGAATTCTTGTAGATTAAAATTAAGTAATGCTAGCCTTTCGTCTACATCATGACCAGGCTTAAATGATTTATTGTTTCAAAACCTTTGTTTAACGCATCTATTACTTTATTGAGTTCCTTAACTTGTATTGTGTTTTGTGCTAAATTTTAAATGTTATTTATTAATTCTTTTTTATATTGTTCATCTGTTTTTTTTCGCGCGGAGTCCCACGGATACTTACCCGCCCAACCGACCGAGGGCCGCATCCGTTTTGTGCTAAACGGCACGATTCGCGAGCAGATAGACGGGAGATAAGAAAATATGGGTAAAAGTCCGGTGAAAAAAGTAATAGTAAGCAATGAAGCTAGTATTACACGTTTTAGGAGCGGCAGAGAGTCAAGATTTGAGATTATAGGAAAAAGTCTATTATAGGTAGAACATAATACTCTGAAAGGCTCATGCAAGGCATAGTTAGATCTACAATGATTTAATATTAGGGGAATATAATTTCTAGTTAATCTACTTGGCACAAAAAAGTTTAGCCGACTAACCAATAGTCAATATCAGAAGACAGACCAAGCATCGTTCTACGGTTGGCTAGGGAGGGTAAATTAATCAACAGAAGTCTACTAGAATAAGAAGGTAAGTTAAGATTTGCATACCAGTTTAGGCACTGTAAAACAAAAAGAAGAAAATTTTTTGTACTGATTCAATACGACCAATATGTATTCCGGATTGTGGACTCCAGACGAGAGACCCATACTCCAGAATCGGACGGACTAGCGAAATAAATAATGCTTTAGTGACAAAGGGATCATCGAATTCTTTTGACCACCTTTTAATAAGTCCAAGCACTCCCCTGGCTTTTTAACCATGGACGAAATGCGGTTTGAAAATTTTAGTTTAGGGTCCAAGAGAACGTCAAGATCGTTACCAAGAGTTATTCTATCCAAAGAGCTGCAACTTAATGTGTTAGTCGCGTATATCGGATTGACCCGATCAAAAGTCATCAGCTTGTACTTGGAACCGTTTAAATTTAGTAAATTATCTAGGCATCAGTTTTGAAAATTATCTAGATCGGATTGTAAGTCTAAATGGCAGGAAAGGTCCTTTACATAAATAATGTAAAAAGTAACGGACCCAATTGGCTCCCTTCTGGGACACCGGAGGAGAACACGGAGAATTTCAAAAATTGAATTTTTAAACAGGACCCTTTGTGACCTGCCATTCAGATAACTTGAGATCCATTTAAGGAGATTTACTTAAACAAGAAGTAAGCTATTTACAGAGTCAAATGCTTTACTAAAGTCGGTGTAGATGACGTCTGTTTAAAAACTACTATTGAAGCCTTTAATCACAAATGTAGTGAGCTCTAGAAGGTTTGTGATTGTGGATCTACGTTTAATTAATCCATGTTGACACGGAGAAATGATTGTTCTACAAAGGTGCTGCAAATTAGGAGTAAAGATTTTTTCAAAAAGCTTAGGAATAGCTGACAACTTAGAAATACCTCTGTAGTTACTGGCTTCTAACTTGTTACCTTTTTTGAAAAGAGGAATAACAAATGATTCCTTCCAAATATTTTGGAATTTGGAAGTTTCTAGAGATATGGTAAACAACTTGTGAAGAGGTTTGCACAGGGCTTTAGCGCAATACCTAAGCAGACTTAATACCGGAAAGGTGATTTAAATAATCAGGAAGTTCAGACAAGGGCGGAATATATGAGCAAGTTGTGTATGTAGAGCTACCAGGAAGCGATAACTTAACACAAATAAATTCAATGGTATTGAATTCCTCAAAAATTAACTCCTCTGATGGGAGGTTTGAATCAACTCCAAATAAGACTTCACCTCCCCGTCTAGAGGGACGGTCATACCTATATATTGTGTACTTACCTGGAAAAACTTCGGAGCTAAAGATCTCCGGCTTTAACCAGGTTTCTCTAAACACAATAATATGAGATGTAAATGAAAGGCTATCAGAATACAATTTAGTGAGCTTGCTACGAGCTTGTATTCTGATAGGAAAGAAGGAGGTTAGAAGTTAGTTTCTTGAAATTGGTAAGGCTTCAAAAAGCTCGTTAGGGACAGTTATCTTGAAAGATGAATTGTCTTTAGCATAAGAAAACTTAAACTTTTCCACCTTTACACTATTACAACCGGCTTTAGTTTTGTCTTGTATATAAGACAATTCATCAGAAGATGCTTGATCAGTGGAAAGCCGAGAAACGAAAAATTGTTTCTTTAGTGGAACCACTGCAGTGGTTCAGTGCACTGAAAGGGATTTTGGTGAAGCAGAAATTGTTTCTGCAAAACCAACTTGAGTCCGGACTCAGTAGTCCCTTTATTCTGAGAGATAGGTGAATCCACTAATTGTGAAACCACTACGGACAAATCGGAATGCATGCATTCTGTTACGGATTCTTCGGATACCGAATCTTTAGAATCTGATCTTAGCAACATTTGAGGGTGAGCTGCAATGCTTTGTTGTTCTTTTAATTTCGGTTGCCTGGTGTTCCCCTTTTTCTGCTTACCACCAGCGGCTTTTTGCGCTTAGGGGACTCTTCTAATAGCTTACGACTTTTAATCTGCGAATCCAGCGCAGAGAGGAGATCATCAGCTCGGCGCAAACTATCTCTAGCAACTCCGAAACAGCTAATCAGCCCCATTAGGCCGCCTTTATTGTGGCGCATGAACGATTTCATTGCGTTCGCAACCTCGACACAAGCATCACAACAGAACTGCAAATTGGGCCCCTTTGAAAGGTCATCACTTGTCCGGCCAGTAAAACCAGCGCACTTGGTGTGCACCATATTTTCAGAGAGCCAGCAAGTCACATTAGATTGGTCAGCCCTGATTGCGAGGCTGCATTTTTTGGGGAAGCAGACTAAATTATTATTACTCACTTTACCTATTGAAATCACTGAAAACGAATTGAAATTTATAAGCGAGCAGTTATAAGTACCGCAAGGGCGCAGATACTGGACGCTTAGAACTTTCAAAGCAAAGAGAGCGGGAGCGTAAATTAGTTAAAGTGCATGCAAAAGCAACACTAAAAACAGCGCTACAACTTTAATTTAATTTATTGATTTGGTTTTAATGGTTTTAAACCTTTAATTTGATTTTGTTTACTTATTTCATTGAAAACTTTAGTTAATACTATTTTTGCTTCTAACCAATCTCGACTGTTGACTTTTATTAAAGTGGTCAATTTTATATTTTGCGTATTCGATGGTCATTTCTTTATACGTTATTATGATTTTTGTTTTATGAAAGTAATTTATTATTTCGACTTCATTTGAGTCTCCTCTTATAAATTCTAATTGTCTGTTATAATTATTGGATATGTGAGTGCTTTATTAAAAAGAACAAAAGAGAAGGAATGCGTCCGTTCGTTGTGAAATTACAGACGAGAGAGAGTTCTTAGATTTATATCGATATAAATGTATGGAGTTTCTCGCAGGCAACTATCGCAATCGGCTGACAGACGGCGTTGCCAAATAGTTACAAATTTCTAACACTCCTTCTCAACGCTGTTTGTCATTTTACAGGATAATTAAAATACGTTATTTACAGCAAACAGCATGGTTTCTGTTGATAAATATTTTAAATCTATAATCTTTTTTTTAAACATATCTCTTACATGATGATACTTTATATCTATATGTTTGCTGCGCGCGTGCAATACAGGATTCTTTACAAGATACTGCGCACTTTAATTATCGCTGTGTATTATAATCGGTTGGACTTCACCAAGACCCATCTCACTCCAAAGTTTACGAATATACACTGCCTCCTTTGCAGCTGATGAAAGTGCAATGTACTCTGCTTCTGTTGTGCTGAGAGCTACCACGGGTTGCTTCTTAGACTCCCCGCTGATCGCTGCTCCTGCCACCAAAAATGTCCAGCTGGTGAAGGATTTCCTGTCGCTGTCGTCTCCATCCCAGTCGGCGTCAACATAACAATAGACAGCCTGTCTAGTTTGCTGATAATTTAACTGGAACGTCTTCGTACCCTGCAGGTACCTTAAAATTCGCTTGGCACACACCATGTGCTCTTGGTGTGGATCCGAGTTCCGTTGAGCAAGCTTCGCCACGGAGTGGAGTATATCTGGCCTTGTCGTTATAGCCAAATACATAAGGGAGCCTATCAGGGACTGGTATTCAACCTGATTTGCTCTCAAACACTCCTTCTTGCTGCATCGAACCTCGTAACCAGCTTCGAGGGGTAGAATGGATGCCTTACAGTTCTGCATCCCGTAGTCTTCCAATAAGGCCTCTATATACTGCTTATGGCCAACTTCGCCATCTCGATCAATTTCCATTCCTAGGATATGTTTCAGGAAACCGCCATCTACAACATCGTACCTTTTTGATATGAGGTACTTGATCTCATCCTGCTCAGCTTTCGAGTCGCTCGCCACTATGATGTCATCTACGTAGACTACGATGAAACTCATGTGGTCACCTTGACCCCGTTTGTAACTTCAGAACTTCAGAATGGTCTCGTCCAGGTTGCTGTTCCACTCTCGGCCACTTTGTTTTAAGCCGTAAAGCGATTTGTGCAGCTTCATAACCTTTCCTGGATGTTTTTCTTCAGTAAACCCCTCAGTTTGCCTCATGTACACCACGTCATGGAGTTCACTGTTGAGGTAAGCAGAAGAAACATCAAGTTTGTGCATATACATTCCCACCGGGGAAAACGCCTCAGAGTAGTTGATACCATATTTTTGTCCACAGCCCTTTGCAACAAGCCGTGACTTCAAACGTTCCACATTGCCATTTATATCTCGCTTGACCGCGTAGACCCACTTGCATCCAATGGCCTTCTCTCCCTCAGGCAGCTCGACAAGTGTCCAAGTCTTCCTCTCTTTTAGACTATCAACTTCTTGTTGCATAGAATTCTTCCAGTCCTCTGCATGTCTGAAACTTAGTGCATCTTTGAAACTTGCTGGAACCTCAACATCACTTTTGGTTATGACATTGACAGTTTGGTACTCCTTTCGAGGTCTCCCACGCCGCCCAGAACGAACAAGTTTTGGCCTCCCAGGGCCCCGTTTATCGCTTAGCAGCACCTCTGCTTCGGGCAGCACATCTGCTTCTGGCAGCACCTCTGCTTCTGGCAGCACATCTTCATCTGGAAACACCTCGGCTCCTGGTAGTGCTTCTGCTTCTGGTGATTGCTCTTTCTTGCTCTCCTCGCTGGCATATACATCGGGCTCATTTTCGTCATAAGCTCCGATCTCTTCAATTTGTGGAGCGAAATTAATTTCATTATATTTTTGCTTCTGAAAATGCTCCAAAAATATTACGTCACGTGACTGTGAGTTTTCCTGTACATGGATTATACAAACGGTAAGCAGCAGCCGTATCTGAATATCCTACAAAAACATATTCGATTACTTTCGGTTTGAATTTACGGAAATGTTTCTTATCCAAGCCGATCGCTTTAACCCCGAATACCTTGAACAAAGCTTCGAACGGCGTCATATCCTCCAGTGCTGATGACTCCGATCTGTTTCGCAATATGCTGCAGCAGCTACGGCTTCCGCCCAAAATTATTAATTCGGACGTTGATGCACTATGATCAGCGCAAACCAGTGGCCCTTATGACACCAAGCAGTGCTTGTTACGCGCGGAGCCTAATGGGCGTAAAAACGAGATCGCGAGAAGTTAAAAGCACAATGCAGAAGCGGACAGACAAGATTAGAAATACGTACGAGACTAATACTAATACTAATTTTGTGCTAAGTAAGATAAAATTAATGATTTTTAGCTTGGCAAAGAGTTGGTAGTAGAAATAATATGGTATAGTCTATTATAGTCGTTACACAGTACTCTAAACGGTTCATGCATATCAAAGTTAGATCTACAAATATTTAATGTAAGAGGAACATAGTTCCTGGTAATTCTATTAGGCACGGAGAAGCTTATGCGACCCAGTAACTCGGGACTCTCCACATCCCCCTAAATAAGTTTATAGATAAAAGTTGTGCCAAGCATCGTTCTACGGTTTACTAAGGATGGTAGATTAATTAGGAGAAGTCTACTAGAGTAAGATGGTAAAATAAGGCTTGCATTCCAGTTAAGGCCCCGTAGAGCAAATAATAAAAAGTTCTTTTGCACAGACTCTATCCGGTCTATATGTACACCATACTGAGGACTCCAAACTGCAGAACAGTACTCCAGGATTGGACGGACTAGTGAAATGAACAGAGTCTTTGTAACATAGGGATCATCGAATTCCTTTGACCACCTTTTAATAAATCCGAGTACTCCCCTGGCTTTATTTACCATAGAAGTAATATGGTCACAAAACTTAAGTTTAGGGTCAAGGAGGACGCCAAGGTCATCAACATGCGTAATTCTAGACAACGCGCATATTGCATATTGTGGGTTCACCCGAAAAATGTCATTACATTACACTTAGCGCTATTTAAATCCAATAGATTTTCACAACACCATGTTTGAAAAGCGTTTAGGTCAGATTGTAAGACTGAACTGCTAGAAACTTAACGTAACTTAACGTCATCTGCGTACATAAGGACACGCGACTTTGTCAAGACTAGAGGGAGATCGTTTATAAATAAAGTAAAAAGAAGTGGGCCAAGGTGGCTTCCTTGTGGGACGCCTGAAGTAACTCGGATCAAATCAGTGTAAACTACGTCAGTCTGCATGTTCTTTCTAAAGCCATTTATTACAAAAGACGTTAGCTCCAAATAATTTGTCGTCGTAGATCTTCGCCTTATAAGTCCATGTTGACATGGAGATATAATCGATCTACAAAGATGTTGCAAATGGGGTGTAATAGTGTTTTCGAAAAGCTTTGGGATGGCGGATAATTTGGATATGCCTCTGTAATTACTTGTATTGCATTTATTTTCTTTCTTATGAAGGGGAATGACAAATGACTCCTTCCAAATAGGTGGGAAATCAGATGTTTTTAAAGACAAGGTAAACCATTTGTACAGAGGTCTACACAGAGTTTCAGTACAGTATTTAAGCACGCAGCCTGGAACTCCGTCCGGACCCGGTGAATAGACTGGCTTAACTTTATGGAGATCCAAAAGAAGATAGCTTTCGCTTAACCTCGGACAAAAAATCCAGTTCGACTTGGATATGGCATTTGAATAAGACGGATTTGGACGGGATTTGAACAGAATATGTTGTCTGGAAAAACTGGGCAAATAGATCGGCAATTGCCTGATCAGAGTTTGCCGAAGAGTTTTCGAATGATAGCGATGCAGGGTAACAGGCTGATTTACGCTTAGTGTTAACAAAATTATAAAACTGTTTTGGATCTTGTGAAAATTGGACCCTACAACGAGTCAAATAGCTTTTATAACACCGGGCGTTAAGCACGATAAAATTTAACCGAGCCCTTAGGTACCGAGAGAAGGCAGGTTGTGAACCGCACATATTAAATTTATTGAAAAGTCTGGACTTAACATTTTTTAGGTGTGACAACTGTTTATTAAGCCACGGAGGTTTATTTGAAATTGACGGATAGTAGAACGGAACACACAGATAAAAGAAGGAATTCAATGCATTATAAATGATATTAACGGCCTTAGCCACGTTAGTGCATGAATAAAATTCGGACCAGTCATAGCCTGATATAAAAGTATTTAAAAGATGAAAGTTTGCCTTACGAAAGCAGCGGATTCGTTTAACCGACTTTTCGGATTTTTTATTCAGCTCTGTTCTTGCGTCTACAGTCAGCTCTAGAGTTGGATGATAAGGATCTTCCGGTTGTGTAAGTGGTGATGTTCTTGATAGGCAAACGCCTTCTGAATTTGAAACAAAACACAAGTCCAGTAAACGTGCTGAGGAGTTCTTAACATGGCTCACTTGGGATAGCGCAATGTCAAGCAAGCCGTCAATAAAGTCATGCTGCCCTAAAGGAAGTAAAATGTTAGAGTTTTCGTCAGGGGACCATGTCGGACTAGGTATTTTAAAATCACCCAATAGTATTACCTGATCTCGATCTGAAAGTTTTTTGGAAATGGACTGAATAACGGAAAGGTTATTTGCGTAAATAGGGAACTCAGGTGATGGTGGGATATATGAACAAGTAATATATACAAAACTACCGGGAAACGATAATTTTATACCTAGGAATTCGATGTCATAAAATTCTTCGAAAGTTAATAATTCAGACGAAAAGGTGAAGTCGACAGCAATCAGGACTCCACCTCCCCGTCTGGACTGACGATCAAGCCAATAAATTGTGTACTTACCCGGGAGAATTTCGGTTCTAAGAATATCCGGCCTTAACCAGGTCTCCGTACATACCATAATATTGGTATTTTCCATTTCCCCTGAACTATTCTTTTTTCTCTTAGCTTCGTACTCTTTTACAAATATGCCCTCGGGTTAGAAACTGGTGGAACACACAGATGCAAAAAGAGCACAAGGAATACCAATCTTAAATGATGATACTTTCCTAGCATAAGAAAATTTAAATTGTTCGACCTTCAAATCATCAACTGGGATTTTGTTACGGATATAAGCCGTAATATCCAGTGATGATAGGTCTGGGGCGAGCCGTGAAACAATTACATGTTTTAGCTGGGGCACCCGAACACAAGTAACCGTTTTTGGTACAACCCTTTTTGGTACTACAGAATTTGTATCTGTACTACCAGTATCGGCCGGTAATCCGGAGTGGCACCTAAGATTGGCAACTGAGCTGGAGTCGAATCGCGGGCAGCAGGTTGCACAGCACCTGCCATAGAAGGCACACCGACCGCGACTTTTTTGCGCTTTGGGGAATCGGGCTCAGCTAGCACGCGGCTATTGAGCTGAGATTCAAGCGCCACGAGCAGGTCCGTATTTTTACGGAAGTTCCGGATTAATTCCGTAACACTGCTTTTTGTGAGCCGCCTAATAATTATTGCCTGGTTCTCGTATACAATGCATTCATCGCAGTAGTAGCGTCCAGGCATCCAGGCCAGAATAGCCAAGACACTTTGCGTGATAAATTTTATCACATGTATGGCAGGGAATACTTTGCTGTCCAGCCGAGATAACTTTTTTGCAATTTTTTAATGAACAGAAAGCCATTTTCGCTGACCGCGGAACACTGTGCACTATAGCGGACAAAAAAATCGAAAGCGCTCAAGAACTTTTTAATGAAAGATCAAGCCGAGCGACAGAGCGGGAGCGAAACACCGAATAACTTTGATGTTAGGCACCACGAAACGATATAGAAACGAAAAGAGAGAGAGAGCGGGATTATTAACCGATTAACTCCGGTATAAAACACCTCTGAGAGATATGACCGTTGGAGTGCGTGCCGTTCCAACAGCGCTCAACGACGAAGAGAAAGACTGAAAAGAGGGACAATAGGACACAATAACAACAAACCAGCACCGAATTAAATTATGATAAAAACTTTTTGTTTACTAAACACAAGTTAATCATGATGCACTCGCGAAGCGAACGGAAAGTTGTTAGA